TTACAAAACTGGGAACTTATTTTAATAGAGCTTTAATAGAGTTTTATAGCCAAAAAAGTAAGACCTTAAAGCAAGTTATGGGATTTTTCCCAAAAGATATAACTTAGTTCGGCATCTTATATCGAATGAAAAAATAAGATTCGATCCTATTTTAGGATCAGTTCTACTTTATATCCAGAAAATTTGACTCAGTGCAAACACCCCAAGTTGAAAATAATTAGTAATAATACAATTATGATAATAAATAACTCAAAATGTTTTGAAAACTTTCTTCGCAAATATTTCATCTCGAATGTGTTAATCTGGCCTATAAGGATATAGTTTAACAATAATATAAAACCATGGAGAAATTTAACTTAAGAAATATTAGGCATAATTAGCAGTTAATAATTATTTCATGGAATTTTGAAAATTTAAAGATTCATAAAAATTTTCTTTAAAATTATTATTATTGGTAACTATTTTTCAACAAACATTAACCCTTTTAAAAAATGTTTCAAAAACTCTTTTTACCTCAAAAATTTAAATTACTTATTTGAATTTTATTTAAATATTTAATTTAATTACTTGTTTATATTCATTTTGTTATTTAATAAATTAATATCGAATAGTTATTTTCCACTTATATTATGATATTATTATTATAGTTTTACAACATTATTCATTTAACTAAATTTTATTTATTTTAAATTGGTTTCACTTATACAAATACCTTATATATATGCAAGCTATTCTATTGCCAAATGAAAATATTTGAGTGGCCCAAAGCAATTAAAAAACTCGTAATTAAGGAAGAAGATGATCCATTTTTTATATAAAAATAGATGCAACAAATACTATCCAAAAAAAAAAAATAATAATAATTACAGGAAAAGAATTTATGTTTTAAAATATTGATTTATATATATTTTAAGATGGATTTTATGGGGAACAAAAATTTATAAATATTGATGTATGAAGTATTGTGAAACTTTGGTAATATTCAGCTTATTTTCCATTACATAGTTATTTCTTTTTAAATATTTAAATTTTTTTTTCATAAACAGAAAACGTTAGATTTTAAAGTTAATTTTTTTTATCGAAAGTGCCGCGTCTTATGACATAAAGAAACTATTTAAAAGTTAGAAGGGTTCGAATAGATATGAAACAACAACAACAAAAATTTTTTTAGATTTTAAAATTTGATGAAAATTTTCATTGCTAAAAGCGCCCAAAATGGTTAACTCATTAGCGATTCTGACATTGCATTATCAAGTTGCTTAAAAACTAAGTGCTTATAAAAGCACTGGTTTAGTTAATAAACTGACTGAAACTCAGACTGAGAAAAAGCCTAAAATAAAAAATAATGTACTAATTTCAGGGTCCAAGATCTGAGTCTTGGTATTAAAGTTATATTTTGAGCTATTGGCTTAGTTAATAAACTGAGAGAAACGCAGACTGAGAAACAGCCTAAAACAAACTGAGAAACAAAAAAATTTACTGATTTAAGGGTCTAAAATCTGAGTCTTGTAAAGAACATATTAATAAAGATCTAGATGTACCTTATATAATATATTAAATGTTCCGTTATGATAAGATATATAACTGATAATATATCTCATTCATTAGCTCTGACGCTACAGAATGAAAGTGAATATGTTCGAAAACTGTAAAGCTTACATGTATTAGTTTTCCCATACAGAAAATGGGGGTGTATGAAACTAAATATATTGAAAGACTGAATAACTTACATATATTAGATTTGCCATTCAGGAAATAAATAACTAAATTACCATCAATTATAATATTCATAAGACATTAACTTAAGATTTCCCTAAATTAGTTTCTTATTTATATATATTTATGTAGACACACAACATAATAAATAAGCAAAACATCACCAGTAGTGACAATTAAATGAAATATAAGAAACCAGGCTTCAAGGAAACCCTGAAGCATTTCCTCTATTTCAGTCTGGTTCCATCAAAAACTCCAACCAAATTCTTTTGGGTTAGGGTTATGTTACTTTCTGCTTAAAAAGTATCCGGATTTTGTTGTTTGTTAACTACTCCTTAAGTAATAGACCTTTTTAAAGTTTTTTTTTTGTTATGTTGGTACACCCTTTCTTAACATATGGTACAAATTTGAGCGCCATCTGTCAATTAGTTTGTTTACAGCAGCTGTTAATGTGAAACTACCTCAAGTGTATTCAGCGATTTTTACTATGGAAAATTCTTGTTATACGCGATTTTTTGACCAAACACGGCACCACTGTCATCGCTCAGGCACCATATTCGTCAGATCTGGATCCGTGCGACTTTTTTCTGTTCCCGAAACTCAAATTGCCCCTTTGTGGTAAGCGTTTTGAGTCGATTGTATCGGTAAAATAGAATTCGTCGAAGGAACTAAAAGCCATGCCTGCACGGGCCTACAAAAAGTGTATGGAAGATTGGGTTAAGCGTTGGCATATGTGTATCGCTTCAGAAAGAGCATATTTTAAAGAGAACATAAAATAAATTTGGAATAAAATTTAAATTTGTGTGTTTTATTTACAAAATCCGAACACTTTTTGAGCAGAACAGAAACTCATGCTCAAGTAGAATTCGAAATCGTTGTTGTTTTCAAATTAAACCAAAATATTGAGAAAAATATTGAAGAGAGAAATTTCGATTTGAATTTGGTCTCGGAGAGAAGACTTTGTGTTAACACCAACGTAGTAATAAATATGTCAGAATTTGTGCATTTAAGTAAATTCTAAATATATATTATATAGTAATATAAGAGTTTTATAGGAGTAAATAACTACCTATATCTTTGTATGGGTATGGTATGGATAAAATTAGGCACAAAAGAACGTATCTGAACGTAGTATAAACAATTGATCAGTATCCAAAGTAACTGTATAGTCAAACTAAAACTCACACAATTATTATAGTTAACTTTTCTCCAATTTTAATTACTTCCATCCCATATAGAGATTTCTTTTTATCTTTCATTAAATATCAGTAACTAATTAGACTGATTTATTTATACAATAATTGTTATGAAAATATTTTAATGGAAATTTGTTACTTCTCAGCAAGATACTCATAAAAGTGATTTAGTTTAACCACATTTTAACATATAGATAACATATTATTAAGTACTTAATTAAAAGTGATTTAATTTTTATGCTCCGTAATATATTACCTATAAAATTAATAAATTTTTATTCTTAAAGAGAAGAAAGAAAAAAACAATTTTCTTTTGTTTTTATAATAAAAATTAATTATAAAAAACAATATTGTTAGGACTTAAGTAATCTTTTTAACTGAGAAGTGCAATGTTAGCCTATGTGATTTAGTGAAAATTTTAACTAAGAGCTTGTGGTATATTATATATATTATAAAATTTTAATAGATTATTATTATTGTGTTTTAATATTAATGACCATTAAAACCGGGAAAACCTTTGAGTGTGCCACATAAAAATTATCTTAAATCTCAACAAGAAAAAGCACAATAGAGCGATTTATAGGTGGCAAGCCAATTAATTAAACTCAGTCCATAAAATTAAACAAAACTACCGAATTCCTAAAAAAAGATAGTATCCATACACAGTTGTACTTACTAAATACTATATTACTCTATACGTATGTACGGAGAGCCGGTGCAGTTGTGCAATAATAATAATAGGTAATTGTGAATATATATTTTTTTTTAAAACTATATAAAAGCATAACAGAGACCACAAAATAGCTCGTGAATAATGGAAACTTTAATTAATATTGTAATATTTTGCATAAGTGCTCAACACAATTTATGTATAATAATAATGATTTTCAATTGAATTTAAAATATACAATAAAAAAAGAAAACTAATTACGAAAGCTGCTACTAATAAAAATAATATTTACTAAAATTATGTAGCATTTTTTATTTTTTATTAGCAATTATATGTGGCGGCCTCCTTCGGCTTAACCTCAAGCCTGGCGCAGTTAGACTCACGTCTCGAGCTGCTGTATTTGCATAATTATTGTAGAAATCATAAGAAATAAATAGGAACGTATATGCAGCGAAACATTGAAATAAAAATACTTTATTTTAGTACTTTTTCAATAGATTTAAATATGAAATTATTTATGCGTTAAATAGTTAGAAATATTGTCAGTTGGTGGGGACGTCGAATACAACAATCGCCGTTTGTGGCATTTTGGGTGTTGCCTTGTCGTTACAGTTGACGACGTTGACGACGTTAACGTTACCGCTGCTGTTGTTGTTGGTGATGTTGATGTTGATGTATATCTCACCAGTAAAGTAAGACACCACAGAAAAAAAGTTTCAAGTTTCAAGTTAAAAACTTAAAATCCATAAAATATATAAAATTCAGACTGAAAACAGTGCACAACATTGTTGCATGCGTTCCACCACTGAGCTTAACTGCGGAGTGGAAAATTGACCAAATCGCTTGCTGTTAGCCAATAAAATTTTCCACATTTGCGGCTGTCAACCGAACCAGACGAGGTGAGCTCAACAGCATTGAGTTTTCACGTCTTTTTGTTTTTTTTTTGGTTTGGTTTTTCTGTGTGGTTTTGTAGCATTGCTTTTTATGGCTTTGCAAATTAAAAAATTCAATAATAAATAATAATTAAATAAAAACTTGGCAGCACTGCGCATAAACCTAAGAGACAGCACACAGCCTTTAAAACGCGGTTTAGTTATTTGCGCGAAATTATATACATGTTGTCGTCAAGCGTTTTGTGGTCGCGAAAATTATTAGTAAAATGTTTGAAATCTTTTTAAAAAACAATTTAAATATGTTTTTTTTTTATAATTTTCAGTTACTTACTGTGTACGTAATGTGAACGCTGCACTGGTGATGCTCGATGGCAAATGCAGACCTTTGATTATTTCCTGCCATAGCTTTTTATTTATCACATCCACTAAACCACCGCGTGCTATAACTAAATTGTACAATTCATAGAGATCGAGTACAGATTTTGCCATTATAGGCAGACGGTTAATAGGAGTGCCTAGAAAAAGTAAAAAAAAAATAGATTAGCATAATTTATACACATATTCTAAGAAAAAAATACCATAACACTTAATAAATAAGTCCCATATACATTAACACGAAAGAAAAAAAACATTGCATTACACTGATATGACAGAACACTGGACCATAGGACGGCTTGACCTACCCTATGATATATTCTGCATTGCGTGTCTACCAGTTTTCGAAGAAAGCAAACCAGAACACCTGCTGTATCTATGTCCAGGTTTGATCAGAACTAGTTTCACTCAGCCATATCTTCAGCATTAGTATTGGCCAGACTCTCATCTTTATAAACCCCTCGGGCTGGTTCTAGCTGGACCTTTTCTTTTTCACACATTATTACGAAGATTTGCAGATTCAAAACTGCTTACTTAGCTAATTGAGAAGGATTCGTTCCTCCCTCCACCAAATTTAACTAACTAACTACATTGATATGAATTAGACCAAAACTACTTTAAATTTCATTATTCATGTGTCTGAACCTCGAGTTATCTATAAACTGAAACTTCATCACTGACATAACTCGATAACCATTTTCATGGTTATAGACTCATGCCATCAGTGTATTGCCAAATGATAATATCCGGACTCGGTGAAGACTAGTCATCAGAGATACACCAAAAAAAAGTTATATACTTAGCCCTACGGATTATATCTATTTTATTAATTGGACTATAGTGTCTAGTTATTTTTATTATATATGGGTAAGATATGCTATCATTTATCATTGGTGAGGCTTGGTATAATGTCTTCTGGGCAAAAATTTCAAGCAACTAGCATTCACTATATTCGGATATTGTTATTTGGTAATACACTGAGGGCATGGATTTGTAACAATATAAGCGGTTAATTTTTTCATGGACCGACATCCTTGAACAAAGTTCAATTTGAACTGATTACAGAGATTTTGTTATTGAGAACAAATACTTTGTTATCGGAACTCGAATTGAAATATAAAACTTATTTATGGATCGATAAAGCTGCCTATTCTTTTAACAAAGTTCGATTTAAACCTATCACAGAAACTTTGTTATTGAGAACAGAGGCTTTATAATGGAAACTCGAATCAAAATAAAAGAAATTTATCATGAACCAGCATCATTGTCCATTCCCTTTATATAGTTCGATTTGAAACGATAACAGAGGCGCTGTATTTCATCTAGGGGGACAGAATTATATACATATTTATAGAAATGTCACCGTCTCAGAGGAAAATTTCAGCTACCATTAAACAACACTTAGGGTTGCTTATGCTTAAAAGAGTAACCCTTGTAAAAAAATGTACTGATAATTATTATCTGATAATAAAAAGATAACATAAAAGTAGTCATTAAATTAACAAATTTTCTTTAAACAAAACATGCTGGAAGGAGATTACAAGTGCAATAAAAATAGTGTTTCAATTTAATATCTGGCAATCAATCTAAATACACTTTAATTATCATTAAATGATTAAAATCGTTGCACGCCCACCCCCCTAAAGCGAAAAAACAACTGAGAATCTCGTTAAATTAAAAGAAAATACAAATGTTTTTATATGAAGTGTTAAATGCTTTGAGAAGTAAAATATTTCATGGTTTTCATTTGTGTATAAACGATTAGAGTTCTGTTTTAACGCTTAAATACAACAATTTTAATGTTAAATGATAATGCCGCCAGCGTTAAACAATCCTTCACCAAGATCACGAACTATTTTTTTATTTTAATGAATTCCCTATCAATTTCAATGCTTTTTATTTATAACGAAAAAAAAAAACCAATTCAAAAATTTAGGAAAAAAAAATTTTATGATCATAAAATTCCATTTAATAAAAAAGCAATTTGTTCTCGTATTTATGTTTGTAGTTGGTAAATTCTTTATTCCCAAATCCAAATCCTGCCTCTATGAGCTCTACTGTAGCTCATTTGGTGCAATCTTTTATTTTCTCTGTTTTTATGAGTTTTTGCCCCAAAGGAAATCAATCACACGAAATGATCGACATGTTGATTGAATGAAAAATGTTTTTATGCGTAAACAAAAGTATTTACAAAAAAACACTTCACTTCACTCCACTCCAGTGTTTTATCGCAAATGAACTCAAACGATTATTGATCGATCGATCATCTACCGATCCATGAATTTGATTGCTCTTATTTTAATGAGTCTTAAATGAGATTAAAAGCCAGCAAAAGTTCATATTGCATAATATTTGTATGCGAAGAGTCAAAATATAAATAAAAAAACAATAAACGAAAACATTTTGTAAAACACCTTCCAGCAATTCACAAAACAAAAAAAAAACATAAATGTACTAATCAAAATATTTTACTTGATCTTTTTTATTGATGTTGATCGATAAATATTTTTGTATATGGGCAGATTAAAAACATTCCCATAACAAAAAGATTTACTCCAATTAATTATTTTTTAAGAATAAAAAAAGATTTTGTTAATATAAATATAATATATGTTATCTATAAATATACGAGCAAATATATATGTATTGATCTTGACAACAAACCTACGCGACTACTATCTCATCGATTTTGATGAAAACTTTGATAAACTACGAGTATTACTTGCTAAGGGCTATATTGAAACATAATAGTTGTGATGGGTTAGTTCCCACCAATTTTGTTTAAATTTTGAGGAACTACAAATGTTATTGTTTAAGATTGAAAATTAATAGGACATACACGAATATTTAAATAAAACCCTCTCAAATGGATTGAATAATCAAAATTGATTTTATCTTATTTAGAACAGGTTCCATTGATCACTTTAATTTTGCTAACGCTTAATCCAATCTTACATATAGTTTTCGTAGAAAGTACTATAACTCTTACTTCGAATATTCTTTTATAGTTACAATTGGCTAGAAACTCCCCCTCGAAGTGATAAATTTAATTTAAGAAATAGAAAAAAGTCACACAGGCCGATGTTTTATAAGTACGACTACTCGTCCATCACTATTGCAGAAAGCTACTTCCTTGAAGCGATCACTTTAGATTAAGAAGTAGAAAAAAATTACACGTTAACCATGATAACCATGCTATGTTAAGTAAGTACGATGTCCGGTCGATCGTAATAGTTGATTTTTTGTTTAAAAACTTTTCCTTGTCATGATCATTTAAGCCTCGGAAGAAGAAAACAATCACACAAAGCCATGTTAAATAAGAAGAGTGTTTGGTTGATTACTTTCTTTGAGTTTTTGGTAAAAAGCATCTCCCTTAAAGTGATCATATAAGCTTTAGAAGTAAAAAAAAGCCACACAAGGCTATAATAGGCAAGTACAGTGTTTGGTTGATCACATCTGATAATTTTTTTTTGTCAAAAGCTTCTTTCTTAAATTGATAGTTTTGTTTGTGGAAGTAGAAAAAAATCACACGAAGCCATGTTAAGTAAGTACGCGCTTGATCGATCTCATTCGTTAAGTTTTTGCTCTCTTGAAGTGATCATTTAAGCCTCGGAAGAAGAAAAACATCACACGAAGCTATGTTAGGTAAGTGTGGTGTTCAATAGATCGCATTCGTTAAGTTAAAACGTATTTGTTACAGACTTTTTAATATGTTATATATTCAATTTTCACATAATTTCACATATATCCACTTACAATTTCCCAGAAAATTCTATATATATGCAATATAAACTTGCTATTTTAATTAAAATTTAAATAATTATTTCCTTAAGTATCTAAAAATAGTTAGTCAAAATATCTAACAAAAGTACAAGAAATAATTCTGCAAATTTTAAAAAGATATAATATTATTAATTACAAAACAAAAAACAAAAAAAAACTTGAAGAAATTTGATCAAGTAAAGAATGCACCTTAATTGCACCTTAGACGAGTGCAAGCCCATCCAATTTCTTTATTTAGAAATGTCTATCAAAAAAGTACTGCTGTCAATTAGTCTTTCATATACACACACATCTATCTGTACTCGCATATATAGTACTACTCCAGTATTTATGTTTCGAAAGCGTTGATTGACGTATTTTAATTTGGAAATGTATATAATAGTATGAGAATTGGGGAAAGATGTTGAAAATTAATTTTTTTTAATTTTCTGTTTTTTTTTTTCGTTTTTTAAATTAAATATCGAAGTTAATTTTTATTTTTTTAATTGAAAATATATTTTATATTATCTGATCAGTGTGTATTGTGTGCGCAACGCGAATTTCAAAAATAGTCCCCCACAATTTTTAAAATACTATATGCATATATCTATTTGTATTGTCCTTTTCACCCACACAATTTATCTAAAGCACATATTTTATATTTGATATTTTTAGTAAGTTTTCCTATGAATTTTCACTCATAATCAATCAAAGTAAAATTGTGCGCAAATGTGATTTTTCTTGTGGTCGTCAAATTGAGTTCTCCTCCCTGAGCATTGTGCGCATTCACAATAAAACGTACATTTATACGTATATGAGCACTACAAGTACCAGACACTGAGACATCGTTCCCAACGTTAGGAACGTCAAGTATGTAGTCACTGAACTATGTGACAGATTAAAATCCATTAAGTTGTCATGTCAAAAGAGGAAGAATATATATAATATTTATGTGTGAAAGTGTGTTTTTCTTTCGATTTATATTTTGTAATTATATATGAAATGAAATAAAATAAATATGTTAGAAAAAATAATAATAATTAAAAATTTTAAATAAATTAATATTTAATAAGATATTTCAAAATTTTTCTTCGTTATTATCTTTTACTTTACTTGAGTGTTTATTGCAGACAGCATTTAAAATTACTTTTTTGAAACAATTCACAAATATATTCTATCAAAATAAATGGTTTATTAATACTAGTATTGTAGTATGAGCTTCGTTACACCTAATATACAAAATTTTATTTTACGCTTAAGTTTTTTAAATTTAATATTCTAAAAAAAATGTCAATCACGATCAACTACACACAATTCCATAAACATTTCTATTACTATATAACCTTAAAATGGCAAGCTTAAGCATAAAATAAATTCA